ACCGCTAGTTGGCTCTGCCTAGAGCTCTTTCGACACTTGCCTGCCCGCTGCCCGGATTCCCTATGGCTAAATAGCCTTGTTCGTTTTCCGGGAGCAGAGCGTTTCTCCCCGCCGCCGGCGATGGCTTCGAAGAGGCCACCAGCCACCGCTTTCCATCGCACCTGAATTCGGTCTTTCCGGTGGGTTGTCGCTGACACCAAACCAGAGATAGCTTCTTGCCAGCGAGGGCACCACGTGCATGCGAGGCGCCCGCCACGTGTCCGATCCTGTCCAGGTCCCCTTCATCCTTATCCGAAGCAGAGTTGTGGGCTGTGGGATGGAACGCCCGCCAGCTGCCCAAACCCGCCGCCTGTCCTGCTTTATTTGGGTCTTCTAGTACCTCCTTTGTGAAGTTATTACTTCTTAATTGTTTAAGCTTGGGCTTCTTGAGATTTTTGCTTGTGGCTTCCTTTTTCTTTGTTTTTTCTGCAGGTGGACATGTCAGCATGTTTATCTGGCATGGAACTCCTTGGTCAAAGAAGGAAGGAAGAATGAGAAGTCGTTTCTTTGCCTTGTGGATTGACATAATGGATGTTTAAGCTTGGGCAAAATACACGTGGTTCGATCACCTTAACGGTTTGGTCTTGACAGAGTGAAGCCATATCCTTTTTATGGATTTTAGTGTTTTTTCGCTATTTTCCTAGGGAACTAACAGAGCTACCCATTTTGTGGCATAAAGGGCTCTTTCATCGCCAGTTCGATTAGTATCGACTGACGTTTATTTTACTCTTTGTAATCATATCTATCTACTATTTCATCTGACTATGATTAAAAAAAAAATATTTAATGGGTATGTATTTTTCTTATTTTTTTTAGAAACGCGGGACGCTTAAAGGGCGTCCCAACCTTTATACAGGAACAAAACGAAGAGTTTGAATCCCCAAATAATCATGATACTGCCAGTACGCTAGGGAACTATCAGGTGCTGTAACTCGATGAAGCCCCACCGATAAACTGTGTCCCGAGTTAGTAGGTGGTCTGCTACCACGTTCGCCTCTCTGAAGACATGGTGGATCTGAACCTGCCAATCACGACTTAGCCAACGTCGGATTTCCGCCACAGCTGTGAAGTGTGAGTGTGAAGGAGACGCTGTCTCTATGAGTGATAAAGCCGTTGTAGAGTCCGTCTGTAGAATGACCTTCCTAATTCCTGCCTCTCAGGTAAGTTGTAACCCGTGCACAATCCCTGCTAGCTCGGCGCTCGTGATAGAACCCCCCCCCCCCCCCCAAGGTTCATGGAGAAACCAGTGATGAATCGGCCATCGTCCCTCCTGACGACGCCTCCAGCCGCCTTGCTTGCTGGTGCAAGTATCACTGACCCGTCGGTGTTTAAGCTCGCCCACCCCTGAGGCGGTGGTTGCCATTGAATCATCGTAGGCGATCGGAGCCCCCCAACCCCGATCACCTCTCGTTCTTTCTCCGCGGCGGTGATAATTTGTTGCCGAATCCGCATCGAGCTAGCCTGAATGTGAGCCCAGGTGTCCAGCTTACCCTGAAAGCAAAAATTATTCCGATTTTTCCACAGTAACCAGCACATGCACGTGAAAAGCGTGTTGTCGATAGATTGACCACGGCCTGAAGTATAGTGGAAGATCCAGCGTTCGGGGCTAGGTTCAAAAAAATCTTGGTCTGGTTCGGCGTGCAGCAACCCTGACCAGACTTCCCTTGCGTATGGGCAATCCCGGAGAACATGTATCGTGGTTTCCGGGCCTCCTCCGCATGTCTTACAATCGTCGTTCCCCGTGAGCTGTCTCCTCTTCCGTGCCGCATTTGTAAGTAGCCGATTGTGATTGGCCAGCCACATGAAAGTTCTCATCCTCTGCATCGCCGGGATCCGCCAGGTAGTACGCCACTTGGGATGTCGGTGTAGGTGGCCCTGTTCTTCCTCCCCCGTCATCTCATAGGCAGTTTTGAAGGAGAACCGTCCATCTGGGGTGAATCGCCAGCAGCGCACGTCCTCCTCTTCTTCCATCGGGACCGGATGGAGGTAAACCTGCGAAGCCACAACAGCTGGTAAGACATGGTCAATATATTCACGATTCCACTCACCATTGAGGACAAAATCCGCACGGGGATGTCCCTCGCCGACTCCGGAATGACTTGGGAGTAGGAAATCAGCGGCTCTCCGTCGTTTAGCCAACGGTCCATCCAGAACCTGGCTGTGCGTCCATTGCGGACGTTCCACACCGACGCCTCCTCCATCTTATGCCACACTCGCAAGACCCCCCGCCATAAGTTGGAGACTCTCCCTGTCCTGCGCGGTATCCATCCGTCCTCGGTCAAACGCATGTACTTATGAGATATAACTCGTGCCCACAGCTCGTTTGGTTTAGTTAGGATTCTCCAGGCTATCTTCATCATATAAGCCTCGTTAGTCCTGGTAGCCGATCGCATACCCAGACCTCCCTCATCCTTCGGCCTGCAGAGCGTGTCCCAATCCACCAGGTGGGTCTTTCTTCCTCCCTCCGTGCTCCCCCCAGATGAAGGCTCTAACCTTTTTGTCGATATACTCGCGGACACTGACTGGGAGAAAGGATGTCTGCATTGTGTACGAAGGAAGCGAAGAGAGAACCGACTGCGCGAGTGTAATGCGCGCTGCCAAGCTCATCATCTCTGCCTTCCACCCTGCAAGCCTCCTGTCAATCCTGTCTATCAGCTCAATATAAGTTGCCTTGGACACCCGATCATGAATGACCGGTACTCCCAAATATCGGCCGAGGTTCGATGTTTGCGGAATTTCTAGTTCGGCGCTCAGGGCAGCTCTCCTGTCCGACGTCACGTTGCTTGAGAAGAAGATTCGAGATTTCGGCTTGCTCACTCGCTGCCCCGAGGCTGCCCCAAACCGCTCGAAGCACTGGAGGATGGCCTGAGATTGCTCCGTCGACGCTTCCCCAAACAAGATTAAGTCATCTGCAAAAAACAAGTGTGAAAGGGCTGGCCCGTCACTGGTCAACTTGATAGGTTGCCAATTCCCATCCCTAACAGAATCGTTAATAAGATGACTCAAACGTTCCATGCAAAGTGTAAAAAGATAGGGAGAAAGAGGGCATCCCTGTCTAAGACCTCTCGAGGATGAACGGATCGGTAAGACCCCCGTTCCATTGAATTTGCATGGTGGCTGATGTGATACAGGCCATAGTCACCTCAATCAGCTTCGCAGGGGCCCCTGCCGCCTCCAGGGTATCTCGCACAAACTCCCAGCGGATCTGGTCGTACGCCTTTGCCAGGTCAACCTTGAGCACCATCCAACCCTTCCTTCCCTTCTTCGCCCGCATAGAATGCACCACTTCCTGTAGAATGCAGATGTTGTCCGTTATGTGCCTGCCTGGAACGAAACTTGTCTGGGTCTCATGGACGAACTGAGGCATCAAAGGTTTCAGCTTCTCCGCAATGGTCTTCGTCAGAATTTGTATGCCACATTGCATAGACTGATGGGGCGGAACTGCTTGATCGCAGTTGGAGTCGTCACCTTAGGGATCAATACCAGGACGGTGGCATTAATATCTCGAATGCGGCTCGGCTGGTCCCAACACCTCTTAAGAAGGTCTGTTACCGAAGAGCCAATCGTCTCCCTACACCGCTGGAAGAAAAGCGGGTTCAAGCCATCCTTGCCTGGAGATTTCAACGCTCCCATCGATCGGATTGCCTGAAGAAAATCTTCCGGAGTCGGTTGCCTCGCAAGATCCTGCCATTCCCTGGTCTCCAAGACAGGAAAATCTCGAGGAAAAGGGATAGCAGTCTCGTTCTCATCTGTATACAACCATTCGAAGAACGACCTGGCTAGTTGCTGGAGTTCCGACTCATCGTCCACCCAGTCCCCTGCCGGGTTCTGCAAGGTTACTATGCAGTTTCTCTTTCTACGCGCCAGGGTCCTAGAGTGGAAATAGGACGTATTTTTGTCACCGGACGAGATCCACTCTAGGCGAGACTTCTGACACCAAAGTAACTCCTCTTGAAACAAAACCATCTCAAGCTCTTCTCTTGCACTCTCCAACTGAGCGGACAAAGACGAAACACCGTCCCTGAACTCCAGCCTCTCTATTCGTTTCAAGAGCGCTTCTTTCCTTCTCAAGATATGGCCGAACACATGTGCATTCCACTGTGTTGCGTCACTAGCAAAAGCTTCGGCTGACTGGAGGAAGGAGTCCCCCTTGGCCCACGCTGCCTCGAGCATGTTCTTGAAATCATCGTGCGTTAGCCAAGCCGCTAGAAACCGAAAAGGTCAAGGCCCTCCTGGTTGTGTAGAGGGGTTCGTAGTCACCAGGAGCGGTCGGTGGTCGGATTTTATTCTGGGTAAGTGGCGCACAGAAGTTTCCGGACAGGACGTCGTCCAACTGTTGTTCGATAGGGCTCGATCAAGCCTTTCGCGTACCCCATTTCTGAACCAAGTATACGAGGGCCCATTGAAACCCAAATCCACTAGCCCCGCATCATTCACACAGTCCTGAAAATCCCGAATCCGGCTAGCATCAAACGGAGCTCCCCCCAATTTTTCTGATGGGTGGAGGATCGAATTAAAGTCACCAACAGTTAACCACGGAAGCTCTTGCTCCTCGACGATCCGTCTCAGTGCCTCCCAAAGATGACGACGTTGGATAGGTGCCGGATTTGCATACACAGCCGTGAGATTCCACTGATTCTCTGGTCTCCCTGACATATTCACACGTACATGGATGTATTGGCTGTAGCTATCAACCCTGTTAATAGCGAAATCCGCCTCATTCCACAGAAGCCAAATACCCCCTGAGAATCCCGAAGCATCAACTATTATCTGCTTATCGAATCCCATCTCATTAATCACGTTTTGCGCGGTTGCCCCACTGATTCGAGGCTCCACAATAATCACTATGTTGGGTTTATATCACCGCTTATATTCCTTATAGACCCGGATGAATTTCCTACTCCCAGCTCCCCTGCATTTCCAAGCAAAAATACGCGGATCCATTAGGTGAGGTGGATATCTTAGGCCCCTTTTTGTGTCACGTTGGTCGGGGTGACCCCCTCCAAATGTCCTCCCACGGTTGACATCTCTTGTTCAGGTTGGATAGGATGGTTTTCTTCTCTCTGCATCTCCACCAAATTCGGGGGACGCCTCCATGCTGCTGAGGCGAGGGTCTGGTTATTTTCAGACAGTGGAGCTACTTGGTCGGCTGGGGGGGCTGATGTAGTTGCAAGTTCTGAAGGGTTAACTATCCTGGTACTCGGCACTCCTCCCGTCGTGCGATCGGTTCTAGTCAGCTGCGGTGACGTAGTTTGCATGGCCTTCACGGGCTTCGCCCCCCCCCCCCCCCCATGCACATGTTCACTCTCTCCTACTTCCTTGGTCTTAACTCTGTCACCTCCAGTGCTCTTGACGTGTTGATTGGCCATTGCCTTTTCGCGCCCTGAGCTGTCTTTTCCATTAATTTGCTCAATAGGTTCTTCCATGTTAACCTGGGTCTCCTCGGTGGCCAGTACGCTAAACCGTGAACCTCCCTTTGCTTGATCTCCCTGACTGGCTCTCGTGGGCCCCTTGGATGCCTGGCCAACCGTCTCCTTCCGCACTGTCCTAGGTCTGCGTTTGGCTATCATCCATTCCCCATATGTCCTCTCTGGTTCCTTCACTTGTGATGTCTCTTGCGGTATGGTAGACTCGGTATCCATCGAGTCCGGGACAGCCGTGCAGTAGCATTTCGAGCGCTCGAAGTACTTCCCACAGTTAAGGCAAATCTTCTCGAGTCCCTCATATTGTATGTAGTAGGTCACCCCATGGATTTTGAATTGGGAAAGCAACGGTTTGGTTAAGTCCACTTGCACACAAACCCGAGCGTAGTCTAGTCGAGCACCTGTAGCAGTTGCTTGGTCAACTCGCAATGGTTTCCCTATGCGGCCACCGATCTTCATTACCGCCTCCTTGTGAAAGAAGTGAATGGGTATGTCCAGCAGGCGTGCCCAGACCAGGGTAGACGATATCTCATGGTTGTAGGACCGGAAATGCTTGTCCCACATATGGACCGTGAGATAATTGTCTCCCATCATCCATGGTCCACCCGTTAGAGCACGCTCGTAGTCAATCCCGCTCGTGAACCGAACCAAGTAATATCCATTCTTAACTGACGAGACTTGGATTCCGCCCGCCTTTGCCCACAGATCGTTCAGCCTTTTCGAGATGCCAGTGTACGACACCGATTGACCTAGAGCCTTGACGACCAGCGATGAGCGCCACTCCCTGCAGAACTGTCGCTCTTCTGCTGTCGAGAAGTGAATACTAGGACAGAGCGGGTCGTCATCCGCTTCAAAACCTTCCTCCCTGCCATATTCCCTTATACCAGCTGTTATGTCTTCGGAGTCTGAGTCTGCGATATACCAAGGATCCAACCTCTGCCTGTCTCCAAACAGGCGTCGGGCAGCACCCCCCCTGATCCCCATGCATGTTTCGGGGACGGCTGCTCTCGATGGTAGCTGCCCTTCTCCGTATCTGGACTCGGAATAGCATCAACGAAGTGCACGTCGGAGTCTTTGAAGCTCTGTGGTTCCGGTACCGTTGGTTTCACCCGTTTCTTGCTTTGTTGAGTCTCCCTATCCCCTTTAGGGTTGGGAGAGGAGGACGCGGTCGGCGTTGTCCCGTCATCGACTCCGCCGGGGAAGAGCCCCCTTGATCCCCATCAGGCGGCGGCGAGGCCCCCGCCGTCAATGCCGTTCGAGAAAACCCTAGCAAAGTGTCCGTGGAACAAATCGTCTCTCCGAAAATTACGGAGCTCCCAGAGTTTTTTGTCCCGTCTTCTTACTTTATGTATTAACAGTGTTCTTCAAAATAATATTGCCATTTATACAGTTTGGAACAAATATACTATAGTCTATATTATGATGGTAATGTTGAGTAGTACATACGATTATATAATGGTGGTATGAAAGTAATATCATGGTCGTATGTAAGTATATCGTGGTGTAGAATGGTTGTATACATTATAATAAAAATATACTAATGATCATTAACCACTTTTCACCATCGTATACCACCAGTTACCACCTTATACCATGGTGGTATATTTGATCTTTGAAATTTTTTCTCCAAAGAGTTATAGTTCACAATAAATCACGATAAACTCATTTCTTCTGTTTAAACATTTTCAAAATTTGAGTTAAAATGAAAGTGGTAACATGGTGGTAACGAGTGGTAATAGATGGTATGCTTTATCAAAATATATAAAAATATGAATGTCATTTTGCAAATCGTAATGAACTCATTGCATCTAAATATTTTGTTATTTGAGTTAAAAAAAATACAAGCAAATTAAAAACAGTATGGTAAATGAAAAAATTAATCTCACTCTTAAGAAAATTAATAAATCGTATTATGATGTTATATTGGGCTACAAAAAAAAAAGACTATAAAAACAGAACTCCTAAATTGAAACTTGAAAGTGACATATAGATATATTTTTTCTAACTTTCTGAAAGCAAAATTCCCCTTATTATTTTCTCTTTTCCGTTGGCTTTACCTTGTAAGGAATTGTTTTGGGGACCTTTGGCAGGATGCCAATTTTGCCGACAAAGCAGAGGAGGGAGCACTACTAGCCGGCTGAAATAGAAAAAAATAGCATTTAACAGGAGAAAGTCTCAATGATGTTTGTTTCCCTAAAGAATTTCGTTCAATATCTTATCGACAAAACATTGAAGGGGGTTGGTTAGGCTGACGAAAATTAGCCTCCAATTACTACTTTGTTCGCGGAGAACCCAAACCAACAACCGAATTGGAACATAGTTGTTGGATACTATTTACACGAAAAATGATCTTATGACGATATTGATTATTTGCAAGTTACTTTATGCTTTTACAAGATTAGATTGATTACAACAATTAACTTAACTTGAGTTGGATCTCTGACTGTAGTTATAGATATTTTAAGCTGAAGTCGCTAAGTAGCACGCGAGCGTGAGTCAACGGAGGCATGGCCTTCTCGTCAATGGAGATTATGCCACGGCCCACACGCTCACACCTTATAGTCACGAGTTTGTGTGTCCAAAAGTACACTAAGTTTTGGGAAGTCCATGATCGCGAGACAAGAGAGTCATGGGCGTGTTGGGAGAAGTCCATGGCCACAAGACAAGAGGGTCATGGGTATGTTGCGAGGAATCCATGGACGCGAGATGAGACGACTGCGACCAAGTCACGAAGTGGACCATTCTCACCTCCCTGAGACACTACTAGCTAGCTCATCACAAGACGAGATATTGACACAATATCTCATCACACGGGAGAGATTTCGAACAAGACCAGATGTAGCAAGCTATACTCTTAAGACCTATGACAGTTTCAAAAGAAGCACTTAGGTAGTTGAGGACGCAACGACCACTCACCCTACCACATTGGAAGACATGCACGTCAGTCATCAGCCACGTATGAGGGAGAGGGGAGAGCGGCTCTTCATGGTAGTTATCAAGATGACGATTCTATATGGCGATTACTACCCCATGGCTATAAATATGAGTGGAGGTCGACAGGGACAAGAGTTCCTAGAACCAAATCAAGTTTTATCTTCTTTTTTTATGCAAAAGTAGTCATAGTCGTGGTTTGGAGCTATCATCGAACCTCCATATACAGGAGTAGGAGCAGCTTAATATAATTTTGTTCCAAAACACCATAAATCAAATACCTTCGTTTTAACTTTATTTTTATTTATAGAAGTGTGAATCATTGTATTTGTTACTAAACTATATCATATATATATTGAAATTGCTCTTAATCAGGGTTTAGATTTTTTTTTTTTTTATAACTTGAAATTTTCTGTCAAGCATTTACTTGGTGTGGGTGACTGATTTTTTAATGACAGTCATGGATATCCGAAAACCACGATAGTAAGATGGGGAAATGCAAAGCCTCTATTAGGTTAGGTATCAATCATATAAAATACTAAATAGTCAAATATGTACAAGGTTTTCTGCAAAAAGCTCCATCCAATCCAATTGCGGTCAAATTGACCGGAGCTAGGCGTCCATTTGAGTTCTCACGAAGATCCAGTTCCCAATTAAACCAAAACGGGTATTCCTATTTCTAGGGTTTTCTTTTTTATTTTTCCCAATTGCACTCCTAGTACTAGGTCGGCATCATCGCTTTTTGTATTTATTCTGAGAGGATAATTATACCTGGGCTTCGAAGCGGCGCACCGTAGTTACGCTGGGAGCGTTATGTAGGCTACCACAGCCTCCTTCACCCAACAAACAAAACAAGCCTCAAACCGAACTCAAAGGATCTTTTCTCTTGTTCACTCATTTCAATTTAGTGATATCACTTTTTTCGTCACTTATACTAACCACTTTCATTGCAAACTTACAATTTTAACCCCTGGACCATGTTGTTTTTATCTTTCGAATCACTCCTTTTGTTACTTTCTTTTCATCTATTTTCCATTATATGTAGGTCTGCTTATACCGACTCACCTCGAGTCTCTCGTATAAAAAGGACTCAAATCATCGTTTTTCACCTAAATCCTTACTTCCTTTGTTTATGAGGGATTAAGAGAAGGAGCAAACATTTCGAAAAAACATCGTTCCTCATCCAGATCACCACTCCTAATGCTTCGCCTTCGCGATGGTCAACGTAAGTATTTCGGCAGTCGTGGGCCAAGTCGAGTGACTTTCACTCTCGACAAAAAAAAAAAAAAAAAAACTCAGATGGTTCGATTCCGGTTCTCCCTGGTTAGTAAGTATGTCTTCTTCCCTGCTATTGAATGTCATTCCTCGATATTCCCAATTGATATGTCCATTGAAAAGGAATGATTTGTCTATTTTTGTCATTGACGACACCACTTATATCGATTATGAATACAATTTCTTGTCGGTGAGCTAGTCCGAAATATTCTATGGTAGTGGAATTTTGACTATAAATTTTTTCTAGAGAGTACGCTGCTGACTGGGGAAACTGCGAACAAGCGTTGTCCCTAGCCATCAAAACTTCTTCAAACCCAAAAGAAACATGTGATCGATGAACATAAATGAAAGGAATGTGAATGGAAAAAAGTGGGGAAAAAGGAGTGGTTCTAACAAAATGACATAGTTTAGGTGTCAAAATGTGATTTACCGCTTGGAACCTCCCCTATAAGAAAACAAAAAACGTTCTTCTGATTAGAACCGTTGGCGTCACCAACGAAACTGACGTGCGGTGGTTCTGCGAAAACGATGACGAGAAATAAAGAAAACTGTTATTATTATTATTTATGAAGACTTTTTTCAAAACTAAAAAGATAATTGGAAAAGAAAAAAAAACGAAAGTGGTTTTCTTCCTCTCTTTCCGCTTTGGAAAAAGCTTTTTTCAAAAAAAGAAGAATACTGTTGTTTCGTACTTATCATATCGCGCGATAAGCACACTGCTCGTGGCGCCTCACACACGAGATAAAGAGAAATCCCCTTTTCCCCGGCTGAATTTTTTGTGCTACTAAATTATTATTTATATAATTTTTTTTCTCTTTCTCTTGCCGGAAATCACCTGTCTACGTGGCCCCACGGGCTGCTTACTTTATCCATTATATTTATACGTCTCTCGCACGACTATGTTTTTTATTTTTGAAATGTTATTATGTATATTATTATTTAATTATTACAAGAAGGATTGGGCTAGGACTCTACTCTCTAGGATGTTTAATGGATACAGAGAAAATACTCCATCTAAAAAATATGTTTGTAAATTTGACCACGCTTGTTACTGTGTTTTAAAATCTATATTAATTGTGATTTTGATGGACTTTGGCTCTATCAACCAACACTCTTGCTTATGTCACACCTTCAAACATTTTCCTGAAACTTTCGATTATTTCTTTTTGGTATGATAAAACTTATCAAGGAGACTAGCTTTTACCCGACCCGTTGGTTGGACGAATTTTATAATTAGTTCATAATAATCATTTCATTAAAATTTTCAAATAATTTGAAACATTCGCAATATTTTTTTAAAGAATCAATAGTAATCTTGCCACTACTTATAATTGTGACATTGCTAATTTTTGAATGAGATATAGCAATGAAGATATAGCAAACCTATTGATCATAGTGCACTTTCACTAAGAAACCTATAGCAATTGACTTAATAAAAACTGGCGAACTCCACCAAGTTATCTAAGAATAGTTTGATTATTCCCCTCATTTCACTTTACGATGCTCAGAGGTGGCAATTGGATCGGATTCGTGGATTGGATTGGTGGATCCATGAATCAAATGGATTGGATCCAATGGATTGGTTGAGTGATCCATGAATCCAAATGACACCCAAGGTTTGGACCAAAATGTAAATTTTGAAAAGTTTAGGTACTAAAATGTCTTAATGAAAAATTTTAGGTACCAAAATGTAATTTTACAATGATATTTTTTGTATAAAAATATAAATTTTAGGTACCAAAATGTAAATATAAAAAATATAGGTACTAAATCGTAAT